GGCAGAATCACGTAGCAGAATGAAACGATTGTCAACGTAGCGCTCATGCCAGATCACACCGACATCGGGCATGCGAAAACGCAAAGAACACATTGTCTGATGCCAGAAGAAATCTTCAACCGTGGCAACCAAATTGCAGAGCGGCGGTGCGGCTGGTGATCCCATAGCGACTCCCCGTTCTTGGCGGAACAGATATCCGTTGATCTCGAAGTGACTGTTGTCAATGACAAAGTCCAGAAGGTGTCGGAGATCTTGTTCATGAAAAGTTCTCGGAATCTTGGTCTGACGGCGCCATTTTCCTTTGAACATGCGGCGTCTATGGTCAGACTTTACTTCGAACACTGACCATTGAGAGGATCTACGAAGGCCAACAACTTGATCGTACCGATGTAGAAGCACTTGTAGTGCCTGGTGGAATCGTTCCGTAGGAATGGACGTGAAGAAGCCTGACAGGTCTTGTGACACCAGGTGGATGTACTCATCGGGATCTGCCTGTGACAGCGACTCCCACAGCTGCTGGACAAGTTCTTGTACTGAAAGTTGACCTGCAATGTCAGGAAAAGTAGCTTTGGTGAGTTCAAATATGAGGGCGCCGAAGACCGTGAGGAAGGGAGCTGCCCACGTGCGAAAGAACGAGATAATGGGTCGTGCTTTCTGCCAGGCCTTGGTCGGCTTTGGAAGGATGCGAGCTGTGGGCAACGGTGCTTGAAGTCGAAGTCCCCATGTCTATCGCTGACGTAGAAGGGAAGGTACCGTAGTTACCACTTCAGAGCGAAACGATGCTGCGGATTCACGGCAAAGTGAAAAGACATCTCCCGAGCAAAAAGTCTTCCGCATCAGTATAGCAAACAGAGACGGACAAATCACATGTGCACGTGAGGGAAAATGATCCGCGGGGATTACCACCCATGATGACAAAGAAGCCACGGTGCGCTGCAACGATGTCGATGACCAATGAACACGGTCTTGAAGGTTAGCACGATGATTGTTCATCAACTGGGTCAAAACCGGCTGCAAGTCAACAAGAAGACTGGACCCATGCACATGCCAACGACGAGCAAGTTTGCGAAGCTGTGTGGTGAAACGTTGATGTAACAAATCGACATCACCAAAGTACTGATCCTTCATTGATGCGGCCATGATTTCCATGTCAATGTCTGCATTGATGCGTGAGAACTCATCAACCATTACAACATGTCCATGTGCACGGTGTACATGGTGATCTTCGATGTCCAAACAACAACACGGAAAGGATGTTTCAGGAGTCCATCTGCGCTGCCATTTGCGGTAGTTGTAGATTTTGTCGCCCAATGTGGCGCTGCGAGCCTCCACCACCCGGATCTTTGGGAGGAAAAGGGAAGGAAACAAATCACGATGAGAAGCAATCCAGCTTTGTAACCATGTGCCAAGTAGAGCTTTCCAATTCCGGACATGTAGAGGTGGTAGGAGTAGTTGTGTCAAAGTGGTGGGTGATTGTAGCTGTCGTTTGCGTAACACCTGGGCGAGAAGCTTCTGCGCCTTGGATCGGAAGGGCTCGTTGACAAAGACGGAGAGTCGCAGAAAGTAGTAAAGCTGAGTAGGAGGGAAAGCCGCCGATAGAAGGTCACGCATGACTTGGAACGATGCACCTGTATTGGATCCCAGTTGATAGAGAATGGAATAATGGGCCTGAATGTCATCCAGCATGTCGGGACGTAGTTGCCGTTGAAGATCCGGATGTAGTCGTCGTCGAAACCGCTTGTGCAAGCCGAGGGAAGTGGGAGACGACAACGAATGACGTCGAAAATCAACGAGGTGTTCCCGGAAGCCCACCTTTCGCAAAAGCCTGTGTACCCAGGGTGCATTCAAATGCGGGCGTAGCAGGTATTGCCATTTGCTTTCCTGAACCCAAACCGAGGAAACGGGAAGTTTGATCTCAACTGGAACAGCACAAAAGAGCCAGTAAGTGTTGGATCGCTTCCAGTAGTGCAGCGCGGGTTCAAAGAATGCATGACGTCCCCGAAGTAGTTGTAGAAATTTGCGACTGCGTGAGTGTTCACGTCGTAGAACATCCTGATCAGTCGCACCAACGTAGTAAGGTGTGTGCCATGGGGAAAGTCGGATGTAGACGCACGGTTGTTGATGATGACCTGGATCGTGGATGAAGTCATAGAGGTCCGGAAATCGCGCCCGCAATGAGCGAAGATGCCGCGTGTCGGCAAAGGTGGAGTGCATGATTTCACACAAGAGAGATGCCTCGCAGAAGTGAAGGACTTCAAAGAACGGCGGAAAGTAGCCATGATCTTGGGAAATGAGACGTTGTAGGAAACTGATCAATAAATAGGCAGTGCGCCGGCATCGATGAAGCTCATACCTGTTGGCCACAGTGTGTTGAGATTGCGACATAGCGTGATGCGGAATTTGAAGGGCAATCCGGACCACGACTAATACTTCCAGAATGAGGCCCAACCACGGTAGCTGTGTGATTGATTCGTACTCCTCAGCTGGTATCGACGGTGATGGTAATCCAGGGAAGCAGTATTGCCAGCACGTAGAGAACATGGTCAACGAGTGTAGAAAATTGTCGAGAGACTGCCATTGTGCAACATCATCATAGATTCCACAGCGGCGAAGCTCATCCAACATGGTGCAATTGCAACCAATGAAATCGACTATGAGGCGGCGACATGGTTACAAGCTGCTCAGAAAATCACGTACAAGGCAATGCAAGCACAACCAAGCACAAGATCAAACTGATGTCACGCAAAAAGATGACGGACAAGTTTTAACCTTGACTCATCCGTGACACGGGTGCCGCTCCGGGCTCATAAGATAACGAAGATCGTCAAAATGTCTGCTCATCAGCTGAGTAGTCGAGCGGTCACGATGAGGTGACTCAATGCCTTCTCAGTGAGCTTGGTGAGATAGCCAGGCTCCAGTCCCCACGAAGCCGCCATCGCCCCGAGAGTGGGTGCGTCACCTTTCGGCATGCGTTGACGCGCCTGAAGGAGCTGCGTCGCCATGGAATCCAATGACTTGTTGCCGTTGAGTCGGGACGGGTGATTAGCCCATTTGACTAGTGACGTCAAAGTCGTGGTTGTGGGCGATTGCTTGAGATAAAGGCGTGGCTGGTCACTGGTCCATGTGTAGTACTTGACAACTTCTTCCGGCGTGCTGTGCATGGTGAGCAATTGTGACGCCGCCGGCTTGGACGGCGGTGAAGACACTCCGTGAAGACTGAATGATCCGGGGTTGCACCGCGCCATCAAACGACTTGCCATCAAGGGCCGCTGCACTGGCAGTAGGAAGGGAGCTGGCAGGTGAAGAGGATTGCGTGTGGTTGACCGGTGGAGGTGTAACCAACTCTGCATCATCTTTCTGGCTTGCCATCGTGGGAGAGGTCGAAGCGCGCAGTGATGCTGAATACTGAGCCTGGAGCAGTTCATGCGCACGGTTGAGATCATTGTACTTCTTGACCATGTCATCTGTCTGTGTAGAAGGCGTGAGAGAAGCATGGTGTTGCTGAAGAAATTGAAGTACCGAGTTGGCCAAATGCTCATGGACCTTGATCCGCTGATTGAAGTCATCGATGTTGAGACCCAGCGAGTTGGCAAGGTCCTTTTCCAGGGTGAGCAGGTTGATCGACTGTGATCGTCGTAGTAGTTTGGAACAGGTACTCCAAAGTAAGGCCTCGGTGCGTGTGCGAAAGCCTTCCCACGTCACGAATCTGCCGTGAGCGAACGGTCGGAGGAGCCAGTTGGTGAGGCCCCCATGAATGACCTGAACCAGGCGAACGTCACGAATATCCATGCCTGACATGTCGCGCAGGTTGCCATGCGGAGTGTTGGCAACGGTCATGGGCAAGCTAAAGTTGTAGAGCTGATTGACATCAAACATGCCATCTCCAGGTGTCCAGTCAGGCGATGGTGTAAGCCAGGCTTTCTGAGGGCGAACCGGTAGAGCCGCAGGAGGTCCAGGTGGCGCTGTAGGTTGCTGCGTAGTGACCGGTGGAGGCATCACGGGCGGCATGAACTTCGTTGGCGTGGGGTCCGGAGGGATCGGCATCATGTAGTTGATCGATGGATGTTGAAATTGCTGTGTGGGACTGTGAGTCGATTGAAAATTGGTGGGCATCATCGGGAAGTTGTTGGCAGAATTGTAGCCGGAATTGTGTTGCCAAGATACCAGATTGTTCCAATCCATGCCATCCGGGACGTGGTGTTCATTGTGTTCACGTCGGTGTGCTTTCCGAGCTTGAGGAGAAGTACTCCGATCACGTCTGCGCCGAGTCCTGGATCTATCACGATCATCACGTCGAGACATGGTCACAAAATCGACCCTCAATCGTCACGCTTTCATCTTGAGAAACACGCATCAGTCAACAAGCAAATTCATGAAACGGCAAGGAATCAACGGCAAGATATCAACCACTTCAACCAATATAAAGCAATAAGCAAAGGTGAGACGTCACTATGATCTGACCGCTGTCTTCCCTTTAGTGAGACCTCGTTCCTGGTTAACTGTGAAATTCCGCTGTTCTATGATAAGCAGGTTGAGGTCAAATTTTCCGACAGAGCCGGCCCGGGGTCACACAATGGGTACACCCGAGGATTCCCCACGAATGGGGTGTACACACTTGAACTCCAAATGGAGAGTGCTAATCTTTCGAGTACAACTGATGAGTCTCGAGTACAACTGGTGAGTCTCGAGTAGGTGTAGGCTCTGCTCGCAATGCACTCGGTTTCCCTTTAGTGTCGAAACCGTTACGAGATTCAACATGAAGCACACACAGCGAGAAAACAACGGGCCAAATGGACATTGCACAACAGGTGTGGGAACGGTCGCAGGTACGCCGGAGTGGCCAACTCCGGTATCCCGTCTTGCTGCCTAGCTTTGTTAGACCAGGTCAGCAGCAAGACGCCTGGTCCCCCTGCTGATAAACCGAAAGGGTGGTGACAGGGCATTCTGTCACTCCGCACACACACACACACACACTCAAGCAACAAGAGACTCAGTCCCGCCTTCGCGCTGCTTGCTCCTCCGCGTGGCCATTCCGTCCAATTAGCGTTCCACGCATGGCCACCCTGCCAGGCACGAGCGCCTTGCCAGTCCTCCACGGGTGCGAACTGATGTGAGAATATGTCTGGGAACCGGAGGTACACCACCAAATTGTGCGTGCCCGCCTTTGGAGAAAAAACCAAATGGATGTTTTTGAACACAAAATCGGAACACCTTTCACCGGAAAGGATCAAATTGATGTGATGTTGTACCTGAATAGTCACGATGCAGCAATCCCACAATTCAGCCGCCGTGCACATATGCGAGCCACAATCACTGGTCCCCAAATGGCATTGGACTTTGCGGAGAATCCAGCTTCCGCCAACCATTTGCCAGGTGTGCGCTTCACGCGACATGTCATCCCTTATACTCAGTAGACGACAGCAATGATTGACCAGCTAGTCATGCACTGATCGTTCGCGAGACTGTCAAATGATGGCCCCCTTTTGTTTGGTTCTCAAAGGGAAACCAACTGGGGGGAGCAGAATCTTGTTTTGTTGAGACATGCCGAACCCCCTTCCACCGCCTTCCCCGGCTGGCGCACAGCTTTGTTGCCTCAGGTGACCATCTTTTTGCGCCTCTTGAATGGGTGAGGCGCCAGCTGGCAAAGCCAAAATAATTTCCATGTGGGTGAATCTGGAGGCCCCCATGGTGGGGGAGTCCGTTCTCTATACTTAAAGGTGTTGGACACCAAACGATGTCTGTATTGTATAGTGACCAGGTCAACTGAGCCCAACCGGGCTGGCTTTCTGTGAGAGAGCCAGCCTAACAGAAGTGGGCGGGGGCGGCCTCCCGCATGAACGGGGCAAATTCCAGGGCCACTCGCTTTTCGGCTCGTTTCCATCCGCTGATGTGGCCCATAGTCAATGGTTGTGGGTTTAGTAGGAATGTGTATACTGGTCGTACACACCCTACTATTGCTCCGTGCCCATCCCTATATAGCACATCACATGCCGTTCTAAGCAGGCAACGCGGACCGGGCTGCTGCCACTGCTTACCCATGGCTCAGCCTGGTCAGCCTTTGCAAAATCAACGGGTGCTGGCAGCAAACAGGTCTGCCTTCTGGATGAATCTTATTCGTCTCTCATCTCAAGCACGAGGCTGTGAGCTTGAAGCAAAATGGCCAAAAAACAGACATTGAGCCGTGGAAATTCACATTGACGTCCCATGGTGGACTGCAGTCAGGATGCTGCGCAATGAAAGTCACGTGGCTTAGAACAGCGCACCATGACGCTCAGAGTCTGAATCGCAAGATGTCGTGGATATGGGCCGGCAAATGAGTACTTATGCTTCCAAACGTGGAGACCTGTTTTTGATGGGTTGAAAGCATCACCTAGGGAAACGATCATTGAAGAGGCACCATTTCGATGCGACTCACCCGAATGGTAGCCAAAAAACTTCAATCGTAGGTGAGGCTGCACCAAACTTGCGCTAGCTTGGATGATTTAGTTGTGGAACAGCTACCAGTACATGCAAAGGGGCATTTTACCTACGGATATTCCTTGCGTGTCCCCGAAATTGGAAATCCGGCACGTTACATCCAACACATGTAATGAGCTTTTGGGACGTTTGTATCCAATATACTTCGCTGTAGGTGTGTATCCTGCTCACTTGTTGACTCTTACGGGAGAAACTCCTTCTAACCGAACTGCTACGAAGTGGATTTTGTCCGTTCACAATCACCCAATCACGGCGAGAGGATGACTCAGGATAACTAAACCAACATGAGGAAAGGTGTGCCAACTACTTTTGTCCCTCTGTACAACCCAGACGTCGAGATCGAGCAACCCTTTTGCCTCGATCTCAAAAGGCGCCGGCTTGCTTCAAGCGCTTCTGAAGCTCCCCGGAGCTCGCCATGCGCACAACGTCATCCTCAACCAGAACAAATGGAAGAAGCGTTCTCTTTTTGCAGGGAAATCCGTCCCCACAGAAGGTCCTGGTGATATTCAAAACAGGCTGATCACATTTCAGGGTTCCATCTTAAAGCCTGGTCACGGTGCTTGGTTGGCTCCACTGGAGACTGTGCACATTGATCTTGTTCGTTGCTAGGAACAGTACTGTCCCGAGTCCCTCAAGCAAATGCACATTGACAGTGTTCATGTTGTGACAGCGCAAGCAACTGAGAAGCGGTCGCAACCTCCAATGAAGTGCCCAGCAATGAACAAGCGGGGCACAGAGCGTGCGCCAGTGATGTTCTCCATGTAGTCCATGACTGCAGTAGGATCCTCCACCAGTGGCTGTCTGGCTTTGTTCTCAAGTTCCAGCACGCTGAAGGACACCCCGAGGTTGCTGAGCACTGCTTTTGCTCTCTGGCAGAAGGGGCACCACTCCTGACAACGCCAAGCAACAAACATTCAGCCGCGTGCAAAATCGTATCATTCCGTTTTGTCAACTGGCAAAATATCATTCTCCGACTATTCAGCTGTTCATTGACTCTAGCCACTGACTGTCAATTTGCTATGCCAACATGTTGGCCTCCTGGGCAAATGGTGACAAGCAGACTTGCGGCCAGGCATGGCAAATGCACAGCAGTCCCAATCATTGCAGCCTTCCTCCGAGTGTAGGGCGTGACTGTCGCGAGCTCTTTCGGAACCAGACCCCTTGCTTTCCTCCCTTACCAGAATCTCCTCAACTTTTATTGGGGGTCCATCTTGCAGCAGGCGACAAACTGGAAATCAGGCATTCCCATGCAAGGGACCTTCATCTCTACCTCCTGGTGGTCCACAGGAACACCCGGAGCGACAACGAAACACCTGGCTCAAGTGACCAAACAGAAATCCCAATCCTTGGCGCAATGCCGCGCCCGCGAAGCACAACCCGCAAGCATATCAAGCTCGCTGGTCTCGTTGTCTGTACGCGCCAAACCAATCCCTACGACGGTGCCTTTCCCACCTTCTTGACAACTTGCGGCCCCAGCCGGAAAGAGGGCCCCCGGTACGCCGCAGTGCCACCCTAAACCAGCTGCCATAGAAGCGCAAGAGAAGAGCCAGCTGCGTGAGCGCGACTCCGCCATGTCCAGCCTGTGCAGAGACGCGCTGGCGAGTCTTGAGTGCACTGCCAAGCGTGCCTGGTGAGATGGGCGAACCGACGCTGACCAAGCTGGATGGCGCCCCACGCAGAGACCACTGCCTGGCTGTCAATAAAAACCAAAACGGGCGCAAATGCTCATGCAAATGCCCGCCACATAATAGTCTGACTTTGCAGAGTCTGCGGGGAGTACGATTGCCACCTCCCCTGGGCAGAGGGCAGGGGCACTTCGCCGCCTCCAGCACTGTCCCCTGCCGGTCCACCACGGATGCACTACTCTTGCATAAGTCCAGTAAAACTGCGAGCCATGGCCAGCACAAAGCGATCCACGACAACCTGAGACAGCTCAACCAAGCCATGGGTATCGGGCGAAGGACAGGTCGAGGAAGAAATCAGCAGGGAGCTCTGTGCAGTCAAGAGCAAGGTGGGCTAGGGTTTCCTCCGGCGCCCCGCACCAGCGACATGGCAGCACAGGAGGATGGAAAGCCAAAGCGCAACGCTTGACTGCCTTGCGAAAGTTGGCACAAATGAAGCGAGGCGGCTGTGAGCCGGCACGGAGCTGCGCTGCAATGCCCAACACAGCACAGAAGGCCAAAACGACAGCAGGGTCAGTCTGACACGCATCCTGGGGAAGGGGGAGATGGGCGATCACACTGCGCGCGCGCTCCAACTTCTGGTCCGCGCCATCGCGAAGACCGCCCGGGGCATTCTGGCCGAAGACCACCACTGCACCCAGCACTGACAAAGCACGGACCCGTCGGAGGCCCTTGGCAGCCTCTTCAAACGCACGGGCTGCAGCTCAGGGTGAGCTCTTTTTAGCTCCAGGTCACATCGTTGTACTTTGCCCGACATCCCTCAACGAACCCCCTTTTGTTGGATCAGTCCTTGGAGATCAACAGCACTTTGCTGGTGTTGATCTTCTCCTCCAGGTCCGACATCTGCAAAGAACCCTGAGCTGACAGAACCGACAGGGCCCCGATCCTTCGGCTGAGGATGAAGACTGTAACGGCCAGGAAGAGCAAACGATACCATGACCGCCTGCAGGGACCACACTTGGTCCCACACTCCACATACCGAACCCAAAACATCGGGGAACCCCCTTTGGGTTGCATGATAACTTGCAAACGCGTCAAATCTAGGCACCCAATTTGGGACAGCTTCCCTGGACATCATATTGAACCCAGGTACAGCTTTGTTGGGGATGTTCCAACCCCAAACCCTACAATACGTGAGGCGACTGAAAACCATGAGTTGCCTGTATTTTGACCGGCCGCACCTGGTGGTGATGGCATCTCGCATGGCTGCAGTGGCCATGGCCGCAACGCCTGCGAACCTGTGGACCGGAAAAAAAGGGCCCCTTTGCATGGCCAATGATGCCCATGTTTCCAAACAAGCTCCGCCTTGACACACCTGGCGTGTGAACGTTCGAAAACGTGCTATGCGATGATGCGACTGCTCTTAAAGATGCTAGAGCCCGAACCTAGCGCCGCAATGACCGAAACAAGTCTGCGCATCATTTTGCTTCGACCGCCAAGTGGACATCGGAGAATCGAGTGCGCATTTTTCCATGATCCACACGACTGCATCAAGATTGTCGTACTTTCCTCGCGTCAGCAGGCCTCCATTGGTTGGCTAGGATTCTTTGTGGGCATTCCAGCACCAGTATCACTGGGCCACCCTGCCAGGTTCTCAAATGGTGTGACCTCGCAAGAGCGCAGAGCTTCCTCAAAACCGTTTTACCCTCGACTCCTTGGCATCTTGGTTCGCTAACCAAACTCAGAATCTTAGATTTCGTCTTCTCAATTCCTAGGCACTCAAGGACCTCTAGGTGATCTCTCAGGTCTGGACCCTGGAAGCTCCAGTCATCGCCTGGAGTTGTCTTGCGGGCGATGCAATCTCACAGAACTCCTTTCAGGGCTTGTGGTTCGGCTGTTCCTTTCTTTTTTTGCCAAAGGTTAATTCCCATAGTCGGCTTGCTCTTTCATAAAACATGTTTCACAATATATATATATATATAGGTCCCCTTGCCAAAGTCCGAACGGGTCCGATGTGGTTTTCGGACACAAATGATGGGTGGAAGAGCATGTCGATCAATAGTCGATCACACAGGGTAACATCAATAAGGAGCACGACATAACGAGGCCATTTGGTTCCAGTATGGGCCTCATTCGCGTGGAGATCCTTACGGAACTTCTACAGCTGTGTCCAGAGTGACTCCATTGGAAACAGTTCTGGAAAGAAAGCCTGGAGTAGGAAAGGTGTCTAGCTGTGCATAAGAGCCGGCCAGTCGGAGTCATCCCACGTATCCAGCACTTTCAATATTACATGACGTTGCACTGGCACATCTATCAACAGCAGCTTTGCTGCCACCCAAGTCAGGCATACACGCATCAAACTTGGAAGACTCCTTCTGGCTAGGCAAAAAAACAAAACAAGCAACCAGCCAGTTGGTGCCCAGTCGGAGGCATCTGAGCACTTGACACTTGCTCTCTTCCAGCATCTTCCAGAAGGTGCTCTCCCACCTGAGGAAACAGGCAAAGCAAGGCAAAGCAAGCAAAAGGTAGCAAGCCAAGCAAACCCAAACAAACTACAGCGCAACGCAACGGCACAAAGTAGGGAGCACAACGGAGCGGAAAAACACAAGAACAACAATAACCGGACTGCAAGCATGCAATGCAAGGCAATGCAAGGCAATGCAAACAATCACCAAGCAGCAACCACATCCAAGACCCAAACTCGCCAGTCTCCTCGTTCTTCTCCTTGATCCACAGAGCAACCTGACGACTCGGATCGGACGCCGCAAAAGTCTCTCTGGTTCTCTGCCCGTCTCTCTCTCTCTCTCTGCTTCTGTTTGGGTCTGCTCCCTCGAGCTTCGAATGTGGTACAGAAAGGGCTCGCAGTCACGAAATTGATCTTTATTTTTAAGGAACTGTTCGGCTTGATTGGTTCTCTTGCGAATGTCTTTGATGCAACCCCCCCCCCTTCACCACTTGTGCTTTCCGTGGGCACCTGTTTAGTATTGCCGGTGGGCCAACCTATGGTGCTCAACACATCTCATGTGCCAAAACCAACAAAACCTGACCAGCTCCAGAAGCACGAAACACGCTATCCCACTCATTTGGAGGGATGATGCACCGGCATGCCTGCATCATCCGACGAGGAATGTCCCAGTCACTCCACAGAGACTCAACCTTGGCAAGTCATCAAAGGTCGGGCCGGCAAGGGTCATCTTCATCTTTGATCATTGTATGGCAAAGCCTCACGCATCGGAGTCGAAGAAAATGACAGTCAAAACTAGGCACCCTTTGGGGACGGTTTCGAAGGAAGCCACCATGACACCAATCATTTTGGGTCCAACTGGTCTTGGCACAAGATATGCAAATGGAACCAAACACACCACTGGAGTCGTCTTTGATTTGCGAGGTCATGCAACACTGCAAGGCAATCCAGGATTCCAACGGTTTCGTCATCATCCCTGGAGTGCAAATGCGTATGGTGCCGCTGCTGGATGTTCAGTAAACCAAGGCTTGACTGCCTGGGGCGCGATGTCTTGTTGAATAGTGGTCCCCAAGCCTTGCGGCCACGTTCACAAGCTTCAGTGGGCAGGTGCCGCAAAGAGAGAGAGAGAGAGAGAGAGAAATAGACTGAAGTGCACAATGATTTGTCAGGCTCAGTTCAAACACAGGCTTCTAAGCCCAGGTCGTCTTTGTCCTTGCAAACAAGCTCAATTTGTTCCAGGGAGTACCTGCAAGCGAGCGCCACACAAGGCTGCTGCGCCTTAGCGACGGGGCACTCCGGCTTCCATTCTTGCACCTTCTGCCGGATCTCCCCAAGGGTCGTCCTGGTCTGAGCCTTGCCCTCACGGAGTGCACCGTTTCTTTCTTTTCACCTGAGCGCCTGGCTCTGCTGTCACAGGCACTGCGAACATGCCTCCGGCCGCCCGTTGACAAAAGCTCGGATCGGATTTGTAAGCCAGGCACCCAATGTAGTCAGGACCTGCAACAGTCTGATTCAATGCGCCCATGCTCAAACTCGTGTGCTGGGTTGATGACAATCCTTGCTAGCTCCAGGTAACCAACGCACCTTCACTTCGGGCACGTGGTCCTGATCTCGCTCGGCAATCTCGGCTGCACCTACACGCGCTCATGCGTGTAACCCTCAAACTGTTTGAACTAAACGGGGGGTGTCCTCAAAAGGACACCTTCCTTTTGGATGAGGTGTCAACACAAACCCAAAAAGAGCCCCTCCATTTTTTGTTGGGAACCCTGTGTCAGCAAAACGGCCAAACGCAAGCTCGCCTTTCTTGATGAGGCCGCCCTTCTCATCCCAAATCTCTCGGTCTGGCCTCACGTCGCTGTTTTGCTTTCACAGCATAGCGCCCACATGGGCCATAATAAAAACCTGCTATTGGAGGAGCCTCTAAAACTTGAACCAATGGCAGCCAGTCAAACTGGCTTCTTGCGGCGCCTACTGCTTGGGATTGTCCCCCAATCTTCCTCTGAGGCTTTCATTGTTGCCACATGTGGCCCGCTTGGTATCAGATCAGCCGAGCTGAGGGCGCCGTGTTCTCGGTGAAGATGACTTCCTGCCTTAGAACATACATTCAAGGCTCGTCCAAAAGACGTTAACACATGCAATGTGTTCACGTCTCGAGTCTCTTGTGGACACTAACACAAGTCGTCTCTCCGACACTTGGCCGCATATCCCCTGGGTTCGCCCCAAACTTCAGCTGCATCCGGTGATAGGTCCCGTGCCCTTCCTCCTCGGCCATGTCGGCAAATCTGGGCGGCGGATTGAGCCAAGCGAGGGAGTCCAGGCGGCTAGCATTGAAACAACCAAGGCTTCCTCCAAGAAAACCCAGGGTTTGATGTTGGGGGGGCGCTGGCTGTGGAAGACAAGGCAAAAGGAAAACACCACCCTTTCAAGGAGTCCCTGGTTCCTTCGGTCATTGAGGCACACACACACACACATACAAAGGTCACGGAGCAACGGATGTAATTTTTCGACCCTTTATCATTCCTGCAGCTGATGTTTGCCCCTCGATGGCTTCACTTGAGTTTGCGTGCGACGCTGGATGTCCGGAAATCCAAGGCACATGACACCAAGCGCGGGGGGGGGTGCCAACAAAATCACGCACTTGGCCTTCCGGCACTTGCCGAGAAGCTCGGTGTCACGAGCGAGTATCAAGATATGCTTCGCTTTGAAGGGACCACCTTTGAAAGAAGAGAGCGCATGAAATGGAGATCCCCAAATGGGCGCCCGTCACTCTCGGGAAGGTGCACTTATCTGGAATTGTCACAAGTCAACAACTAAGCAAACCAAGCTGAGGCGGGGGCTCGACAAAGCAGCGGTGCTAGTCGTGGCGAAGGAAGACTTGAGCGGAGAACCACGTGCGTAAACCATTGAATGTGAGGGCCCAACCAGGCCCAGTCGACAACAGCATTGTGCCGAAATTCCCCAGAACAAAAGTGAGAGCTGGCGCTATTTTTCTGCATCTCTGGTCGTCGGTCTGCAAAACTCATCAAAACTTTCCCTAAGCAGGAGCCGCAGCCTTAGCACAAGGAACCGTTTTCGTCTCTCATCGTACAAGCTCGTGCGAGAAAAGCGACCCAGTCGGCGGCTGGGTCGCACTTAGACTGCAGCGGGTAAATGTGACACTTTCAGATCCAGGAATCGCCTGCCAAGAAGGCGAATGGGTGTGGCCTTGTTTGAGGCCATCTTGCTTGGGTCGTGCGAAGCAAACAAACCCCGTTTTGGGGTGGTCCCCCTCCCTCCCCTCGCCAAAGGCAGCTGTGAATTGTGCAGTCGGAAAGCGGGAAGTCAAAGCAACCGTCGTTGTGACGGTTGTTAACCCCCCAAATGCAAGAGGATCCCTCAGCGATCTGGTCCGCTTTTGTCGCATGACAGCAGAACTTGCATCATGCCTCCGCTTGTCCGGAGACGTCTCCGTGAAGAAGAAGAACTCTTCTGGACCTTTGAGAGGTTATCAGTATGTTTCATTCTGTTTTCCTTTGGGAGGTGACATCTAAAAGAGAAGGGATCGAACTCATCGTGTGTCAATCTGAGGGAGAGGCTGTACCTGTTCTCAGGCGCATGATCTGGCAGGTCCCGCCACAGGCACATTTGGTGCCTGGCCGCCCGTGTTTTGTATGGCGGCTCAAAAGAAACAAACCTAGACAACTGTTGAATCTGACCGAAATGGGGGATACCGCTTGAATCCTTTGTATGCTGGAAGCCAACAAAATAACAAAGCGCTTTTGGGTCAGCCATTGTTGAACGGACCCATCGGCCGGTGCCTCAATTTTGACACATGCTCGAATGAATGTGACA